GTCGTATATACGTAGTGTGTTAGCTGGGTAGTTGCTATCTTTGTTCTCTACTTGTTGTGTATTAGTATGTCGATATAATAGCCTGGAAATGATTGACTCGGAAAGGTCTGCATAACAAGTCTTTATTCCGGCATGGCGTGCTCGAGACTGCTTTACTCAGTCCATACAAGTACTACATATTCATACGCAGTGACGTTACATAAAGTAGTTATACTATCATAACAATACTCAGGCACTTGGGCCGTTTCAATAATAAAGTGATGGTTAACTTAATAAATACAACTTGTCAGTACTAGACCTACCAGTACCCGTACTTCTCTTGTCTTGACACTGACAGTCTATAGTCCGCTTGACTAAGAAATTTAATCACTTATATAAATATATGTATACGTACTTGTGAAAGCTGATGCCCTTCTGTTGGTTAATCACGTTTCGATAATTATTGCACCCATATGCAAAACATATTACACCTCTTTTATCAGGCAAGTGCCTATTACTTCGCCTGCTAATATTGGACGCCATGTTCGATGGTGCCACACTTCCGCGCCGGTACGAGTGATGCACACTCCCCCTATAATGTTTGCATAGCGCATGTCCTTTCTAGTTGTCTATCTATTTCTATGTAACCTGTATGATACAGGCAGTTCCGGTTCCGCTTCACTACACTAATCGCCTGTACTCCTTGCTTCTTCAGCCTGCTTCACACAAAGAAAAAGATTCACACGCAGACGCGAGCAGGTAGAACCGAAGACAACAGCACCAAGTTAGGTGCTCAAACCGGGAACGCCGGTGCTTTTATTGGCCCGCCGACCAACTTGGTAGCCATAAATACTACACAAACTTGGGCTGAATGCCCAGAAACAGAAACAGTAGTCACACAGTAACAAGCAATGCGACTCGAAGACTCAGCATGCCTGCGTGCAGAAACGGTCAAGCCGTCAGTAAGCACTGAGCAGAGGGTGAACCCAGGAGTGAAAAGCGTGATCGTTTACATTACCACTCGCTGGTCCTCGCGTTGTGTATCTCGGAGCACCTGGAGAGAAGCACCAGTGCCCACCTCTACTGCGAGAAACAGCAGCTTATATACTAATAGTTGTGACGTGGTTATGCCACGTAATCATCAAACAAGATACAGGGTGAATCCCATGTGACGTAGGTGAAACCATACATCCAAATCC